TGTTGGGCACAATAGTATTGGCAGAATAAAAGAAATTACAATAATATAAGAAATTAATGGGATAGATGAAAAGATATATAGTTAGTTCCGATAGAATAAATTTGCCTAACTGGGAAGGAGGGCAGTTCATAGTGAAAAAAATCACTAAGCTAGTTTACCTAATTCAGAAAATGAGCTCAAATCAAGGATACATTAATTGTGTAAAAGCAAAGGCGAAATTGTGATTAGTACCAAAATTTTTCCAGAAAGTGAATAGGATAAGCCTGAGTGGTTGCCTCGTGTAAAGGCGCATTACTTATAAATATACTAAAACATGCGCCTTTTTGCCTCGGCAATAGATATGGACGTAGTAAATGCCTATAGGCCTTTCGGTAAATTGTAGAGAATAATCTCAATATGGTTCACAAATTAAAATCTCCCCGAATTTAATGTAATTACCAGAGTCAAGTTAGTCCAATTTAGCATGCGATTTAAAGTAAATAAGAGAAAGGAAGAGGATAAACTTGTAAATAATTGAGAAACTGTCTGGACTAAGGAGAAATGTTTTATGAATGCGAATAAAGTAGAATGGTGACATCCGGCAAGTAGGAATTCAAGGTCACAACTTTCCCTGGAGAGACAGATATTGCATAGTAATTATTTGATTTTGGTTACTATCAGTAAACCAAATAGCTTAAGATAAAATGAATCCCATTACTTGGCATGGGCTTGATGCAAATGTGGATAAATGTTTTTATAAGCACCAACACCCAACAGGATATGAATCATATATTAAATGTTGAGATATTAAACATGCACTTACGGAATTCTGTGGCTTTTGGCGTAACCCACTGGATACCAACTGTCCTTGAAAATCCAGAGTGTGGTTGATTGACCTTAAGAGAGGATTCATTGGCACACCCTCCGACTAGAGATTCAAAGGTAGTAGGATCATCGCCACTAAAATCCAGCAAGCCAGCATCCCTAAGATGGTCATGAACCTCTCTTCTATGTATCAATTCTACACCATACATAGCACTGTTTGAATTTGTATTAGCTTCTTCTCTCATCGGTATATCCTCCACAAGCGTGCTGGATAGCAAGTAATGGGACTCAGCCAAACGCATCAAACCACGATACAAATTTTGGGATCCAGCAGATAGACAGTGGTACAAGAAACGATGATTAGGGAAAATTTTTGATCCGTGTAGATAATCTGGAATCTGAAAAAGGATTTAAAAACAAAATTGGGTTACAATATAGGATATTTTAGACGAATAAAAACTAACTGGGATTTCTTTAGGAATTTCTTCGTATCCACCCTTAAGCTTATCGTCCAAGGGAAATATATCAATGAAGAGCCATTCGCTCGCATCCACTGTACCGTATCTACGCAGAGTTTTCACTTTGTAAATAGTAATACCCTTCCGAGTCATTTTTCTCCTCGATTTCTTTTATAATTTCACCAATCCACGCCGATATATGATCCCTGTTAAAATTTAGAAAATGATAAATTACTTCATTCCTATTCCGAAAACCACCACTCTTCCAGCGTTTATTTTTACTAGGCCATTTCGCTGAGGCCAACTTAGAAGCTGAAGCATATTTCGAGCGGATACCGAACCAGGAAGTGCTGGAGTTTTAGAGAAATCACAAAAATCTGATTTAGCGGGAGGACCTTCCTGAGAAAATATATTCCAAACAGTTTCCAGATTTTGATCTTCATCAAACCATGCGCTGTGTATCTTTTCCTCTATATCAAATGTTATAATAGAAATCTCTTTATTAATTCAAATAGGTATTACTAGTTTTGAAAAAGCGAAAAGGTCGAAAACGACTCTGCAATATTCCATAACTGCTTCGATGACACATGTCCACAAGGATTTTGAAAAAAAACACGCGTCTGGAGGAGCTTTTTCGCCCGATTTTAAGGCTCCTTCGAGGGAGATTATATCACCACATGACTCGAGAAATTGACTAGAATGGTTAATAAGCAATATAGTTTTATGATTCAGGTCATCGCACTGGAAGCGATGCATAGTCTTAATAATTGACAGTCTCAAACAAAGCATGTCAAGAAAAAACTTTAGTTCTATAATAGAAATAGCATATATTACAAATAATATTTATAATGCATTATATTTCATGCTTTATAAATTAATGGAGCCTCTTTCATAAGCCTTTATTACTATTTAAATAAGAGAAACTGGGTTTCGATGAATCTCCTCAGATAAAATTGTTAGGGGAATTTCATTTTGCATGAAAGTACATAAAGAAGAGCTTCGTAGGTCGATCTCACTAGAAGAGGATGGATGAATCTCGTTATGCTGCAGCCGTTTGGCTTTTATACCACGTTCAGGTTGACGAAGTCCACGAGGCCTTTTTCGTTTCGGGTGAAAACGGACTGAGCTTTCGTTCATCATATGATGGACATCCTTAAAGCTGGGTCCCATTCCTGTAAAAGTCTCACGTTAATACTAGTACAACAGGGCTATCCGGCTCTATCTTACCTTTCATATAGAATCAATTAAGCAAAAGAAAATTATAAACCTAGATAGATATGGAGTGGTTTGGCTAATTATTTTTCATACCG